CTCGAAACACTCGTCGTTTTGTTTCCACCTGGGGTGATCCTCATCCTCATCCGCATGTTGAACAGGCGTGTAATAATTTGCTTGTGCAGCGTTCACTTCGACATCGGGACATTTTGGTTTACTGTATGTGGAAGCTACTGTCGAACCTTGTCTTTTGACAGAGCGACTGTCGAACCGTGTCTTTACAGAGCGACTGATGCAGGAGCTTCTTCAACGCAGGCAAGTTTCCCTTCGAGTTTCCCCCGCCAATGCTACATCCCCTCCATCGTTTTCTTCAGAGTTCTCAACACACATACACACACAGGCAAGTTTTCCCGACAATGCCGCATCTCCTCCATCGTTTTCTTCAGGGTTCTCAAAATTTCTAATGCACATATCAATATATCTTCTGAAACTAGATATTAATTCTCTGGCACAGCGTTGTAACCAGTCAATTAAACAGTCATACGCCGATGAAATAATACCAGTCATAGCGCATCGCAGTACGACAGACAATAATGCGCAGTACAGAAATGTGCAATATTTATACTTTTTATTACAATTTGTAAACGCTGCAATATAATGGTGCTGTGTATTACAATATCACATTTTGACCAAACCATATCACTTTTGACCAAAATATTTTTTGTCAGTCGTCGACCCCCCAGACTGCAGATACCAAATCGTAGGTCTACAAGTGCTATTGTGGTATTAGAAAGGTATGCATATCTTATCATAGGATGCATCCTGTGAAGCACTTAGTGCTGCATCATGTAAAGATATGACTATTTTTGGCTAGGTTTTCCGGGAATTATTTATCGAAGATTGTTTAAAATGAGGGACTAGACTATAGAAGCGAACGAGCGAGGATGCTACCCACGCCTCCAGCATCAGTCGCTTATTGTGACCTGTGTTTGAGTAATATCGAAGAAAGTAAAGTAGAAGGTGTCGTCGTTGATTCTTCAAATAATAACGAGAAGATTGGCAAAAGTGAAGCATATAGATTTAATTTTGTGTGTATTTCCCAGTCAGAGCTCTTTCACTATGGATCACGAAAACATAGAGCATGAAGAAGTAGAAGACGAAGAAATAGAAAACGAAGAAATAGAAGACGAAGAAGATATAAATCATATACTCACAAATGATAGTAATTATGATAGTGACAATAGTAATCAATTAGTGAATGAAAAAGTGAAGAAATTGGAAGTTTCAGAAATTAATACTTTGAGTGGCCAAACAAAAGTGTGTTGCATTTATTTTTCATATAATTCTGGAGACAATCTACGGTTCTGCACATCATGTTTTTTTGATGGTGTCCGCGATACAGTTATAGAAATAGTTGCAGTGCGCGAACACATCACCGAAAGACACGATGCGATTGATGGTGTATTTTGTTCAAACTGTAGAAACCCCGTCTACCAAATAACACCATGCAATCTGTGTCCAATATGTATGCACTAATATGACATATTTAAAACAGAATTCTTATACGGTACAAAACTTCATCCAATACACTATACAAGATAAAAGAAGCAGGAAGAATGTGATAACGATATGTGTGCGTGTGTGCGTGTGCGCATGTGGATGACAGAAGAGTTATAAAAAGTTCAAAGCAGATCATTCTATAGTTTAGTCGAAGACGAACAGAGTGGACGCCAAACTGCTGATACCAAATCATAGGTCTATAAGCCTATTATTGTATCAGATAAAGAAAGGCATGCACTTAGGCAAAGTCCACAACGAGTCGATATGAGTTTAAGACCGAGGAATGTGTTTAAAAAAGTTCGTCGAGGAAGTTTCCTGAATTTTGATAACGGCCTGTATTTTTTAGACGAATGAAGGACTATAAAAAGTTCAAAGCAGAATATTCTATAGTTTAGTCGAAGACGAACAGAGCGCGCAGTTACAGTGTGTTTATAACGTTTGCTAGAAAAGTGGCAAAATCATCATCATCATTATCATCCGTAGAACACGAGCTGCAGAATCAGGCCGCTCGATTAGGCTCGCTAGACGAATACCTCGCATGGGAACAAAAGTGCGACGAGTGTCTCGAGTCGTTGGAACAGCATAGCCGAGCCAAACAACCACGACTATCGGTTAGTTCAGCACACTCGATGGTTGCTCGTATAGCGCAACTCGAGGGTTTAAAAAATACTTTGCGCAGACGTTTCGTATACGCAGGAGCTGGACATTCGACACTTGTTTGGCGAGAAATCGATACAGCGTTCAATAGTCGCATATCAACCGGGACGATTGTAAATACAGACTATATCGACCCTCTTCGATTTCTCCAAGATGCGAAGCATATCGTGCTCGAGCATGTGCGATGCGTTATGAAGAGACACGGTAGCGTAAAAGTGAATACTGTGTTCAACGGTGAATTTGTGGCGGGTGATAAACGCACGAACAAGAGCATCAATACGAGGAACGTTGAACTTTTTTCCACATCCGATCTAAACAATTGGTTCACGATGCGTATTATCGAACCCACCTTAGCGTCCTTGGAGGAATTTCAGGAACGAGATAGCGGGTGGGCACTCTCACGCATACTCGATCTGACCGTTAACGTTAACAAGTACAAACCGATGCGTGCGGGATGTCACATCGAATTACCGCGCGAAATAAAAATGAAGCGAGCTGTGATCAATGTGCAATCCAAGGACAATGCATGTTTCGCGTGGGCGGTTGCAGCGTTATGTCCAGCTGACAAACACGCAGATCGTCAATCTCCGTACCCACATTATACATCGGTGTTAAATATGCACGACATTGAATTTCCAATGCGCATAAACCAAATTAAAAAATTTGAACGGTTAAACAATATCTCGATCAACATTCATAGTGTGGAGAAGAGATATAACAACACGACAAAGGAAGAAGGAAACGTCATGCCCATACGTCTCACGGAACAGAAAATGGAGAAGCATGTCAACCTGCTGCATATCCCAGATCCGCGAGATGATGATGACAACGCTGGACACTTCGCGTAGATCAAGAATTTGTCCCGATTCGTCAGCTCGCAGCTGAGCAAAAAGGAGCACAAGAAACATATTTGCGACAGGTAAGTATATACTAAGAACGCAATGTATAATGAATAATGCGACATATACTAATAACAAAATAATGTTTTTCCAGATGTTTGCATTACTTCAGCTTGAGCGAGAAGCTGGAAAGCCATACCGTCGACTGTGAAAAAATGAATAACTGTGCCATCACCTTGCCAAACGATGATAACAAATGGCTCAGCTTCACCAACTACTGCAGGAAGGAACGGGTCCTGTTTGTAGTTTACGCCGACTTGGAATGCATCCTGGAGAAGGCACCGAGGGAAAAACAAACGAGTTCGTATCCGTATCAACATCATAGCGTATTTAGTATAGCGTATTACGTGCGATGTTCCTACAACGAGTCATTATCCGCGTATCGATGTCGTCGCGATCCGGATTGCATCTCGTGGTTTGTCAAAGAACTTAAAGAACTAGCACATCGTGTAAAGGATATTTTGTCTGCAAGTGTCTTCATGGAAACTTTGTCGAAAGAACAGTGGGAGACATTTCGGAACGCTACGTTGTGCCATGTGTGCGAGAAATCATTCGCAAAGGATGATACACGCGTGACCGATCATTGTCACCTGACTGGGCGGTACAGAGGTCCCGCCAAGACAGTTATTGCATTCCCGTGGTCTTTCACAACTTATCCGGTTATGATTCGCACTTCATCATCAAAGATATAGCAACCGCGTTCGAAGGTTCAATCACTGTACTACCGATAACCAAAGAGAAATATATTTCGTTTACAAAGACTGTAGGAAACATTACGGATAGTAGGAATAAATGGAAAAATTGTATACAATTGCGGTTCATCGATTCGTACAAATTTCTCAGTAGTAGTCTCGATAAATTGGCGTCTTTTCTCGACAACGACAAATTAAAAATTGTTCGGTCCGAATTTTCAAATTTGTCCGACAAGGATTTTGATTTATTGATGCGAAAGAGGGTCTTTCCGTACGAATACCTTGATTGCGCGGACAAGCTGCAGGATCGGTGTTTACCGCCGCGCGAGTCATTTTACAGTTCGTTGACGGGTGACATGGTATCTGAGAGCGATTACGCGCACGCCACGAACATCTGGCAACGGTTCGCCATTCAAACCTTAGGTGAATATAGCGACTTGTATCTGAAGATTGATGTCTTGTTGCTGGCCAATATTTTTGAAAATTTTCGCAATAGTTGTATCAAAAGTTATGGGTTAGATCCCGCGTATTATTACACTTTGCCTGGTTTTACGTGGGATGCTATGTTGAAGCATACGGGCGTTAATTTCGAATTGCTCACTGATATCGACATGGTTATGTTCATCGAGCGCGGCATTCGCGGTGGTCTCAGTCAATGTTCCGGTAGATACGCAAAGGCCAATAACAAGTAAATGCAGTCTTACGATCCATTGCAACCATCATACTTGATGTACTTCGATGTAAATAACTTGTACGGTTGGGCAATGTGTCAACTGCTGCCATACGCCGAATTTCGATGGGTTGATGATGATGATGTATCGAATTTCGACATATCATCAATCGCGCTAGATTCACCCATAGGATATATTCTGGAGGTCGACTTGGAGTATCCACAACATCTGCACGACGCGCACACTGACTTACCGTTCTGTCCGATGCGGGGCAAACCTCCGAACAAAAGGCAAGATAAGCTTCTCGCAAACCTTATGCGATAAGCAGCGTTATGTGATTCATTATCGCAACCTGCAGCAGTGCACGCATCACGGTCTTCGTATTGGAAAGATACACCGTATACTCAAATTTGCTCAATCCCCATGGCTCCGCGATTATATCGAACTTAACACGCAGTTTAGAACACGTGCGACAAACGATTTTGAGAAAAATTTGTACAAATTGATGAACAACGCTGTATTCGGCAAAACCATGGAAAACGTTCGCAATCACGTAGACGTAAAACTGTTAACAAAAAAGGACGGATGATACGGCGCTGAGGCAATAATCGCGAGACCAAATTTTCATAGCAGAAGTGTCTTTTCGGAAAATTTAATCGCCGTTGAGCTACGTAAACTCGAGGTGAAATTCAACAAGCCGATCTATGTGGGTATGTGTATCTTTGACATATCCATGACCTGCTTGTTCGAATTTCATCACGAGTACATGTCTCCCCTGTATCAGAACAGATGTAAAGTAATGTACACCGATACTGATAGTTTAATCTACCATATCCAATGCGATGATATTTTCGAGCACATGAAACGCGATATTTCTAAGTTTGATACGAGTGATTATCCCGCTGATAACGCGTACGGTATACCGCTTGCCAACAAGGAGGTGCCGGGTCTGATGAAAGATGAAAATAACGGAGCGCTTATGACGGAATTCGTCGGACTCAGAGCAAAGATGTACGCGCTAAAGGTAGAAAGCAAAAAGGACACGAAGAAGGCGAAAGGTGTCAAGACCAACGTCGTAGCGCGAACTATAACGTTTGATGATTATATGCAGTGTCTGAGAGACGAGGTCGAAAAGCAACGTCGTCAGTCATGCATACGATCCAAAATGCACAAAGTCTACACCATGTCCGAACTGAAAACTGCTCTGAGTCCGTATGATGACAAGCAGTATATTGTACCAGACTCAACAGACACTTTACCATGGGGACATTACAGGATACAATTGTAAACTAAAAAGCGATCATTGTGCATACATGTATATTGTAAAATTAAAGCGATCATTGTACATATATTTGTTTGTAAAAAATATTGTTAACTATAATAAAAGATGGTTTATTACAAGCTTTATAATAGGATATTGTAATAAAAGGTGTTTATAACAAAGAATTGGTTATAATACTGTTACGTCCTGCAGATCTAACTAACAAAATTGTCTTTTCCTCTTGCGGATTTATATTCTCCTAATATAACTATAATAGGAATATATATATATATACAAATATAAATTAGGGAACAGACCCATCTGGCGAACAGCCGTCGCGCCAAATGAAAGGCGATTCGGGAAAATTCCATAACAGGAAACAATGCCCTGTTGTAAAAATCTAAAGTTTATATCTGGATAGTGTTCGCCAAGTGTGTCCGTCGTCCTAGCTATAAAAATTTGAAACTCCGCGCTAACAAACCTTCAGTAAAACAAAGCAACACAGAGCATTCCTACTCTAAAACTTGAAACTTACATCTTCTCAATCCAAAACCATATGTGCCCTATCAGTCAACCAACAAAGCTTACTTCACTGATAGTCGTAAAATCTGATCTCAGCCTTTGATTTACGGCATTTTGATTTTTCCAGCCGGCCGCTTGTATACATTTCTCTATCTCAAGAATCCACCACCTCCACGCTTGTCGCGCCTAATTCATTCAGCCAATCATATCATATCCACCTAAAACTATAAGACACCCACGCTCCACCCTTTAGCCCTTCCATATTCATATCTCCAAAAACTAACTGTCTCCTCCCACGATGTCTTTTAACTTTGCTAATGGCTGAGACTTTTTCCCACTAAGACCAATCCACCCCTTCCTCAAAGGCCATCCTCAAAGGCTCTCTACCCACCCTGATAGCTTCTGCCTCCGATTATCACTATAAAAACCGCGGTAATCCGCCTCCGCGACACACTACTTCTACTTCTACTTCTAATTCTACTCTGAAAAAGGCAGTCACACTCTCACTCGGATATTCTGTTTTGAGCATTCAGAATTTAGATTTCAAGTCAGACATTCAGATAATATATCTACGATTCATATATCCGAGTTTGTGCAAACATTCAAAGAAATCAGCAAAAGGCATTAGTGTTTGTGTTATAATTGAACAACCGGAAGGGAGTGAACGAGCACAACTTAACCTACCGAGCAGGAGCTACCAAACGACAATTTTATTTTTTGCTCACCTTCGGGACAACAGGAGTCAGCAGTAAGTTCTGTTTATATATATATATATATACCCTTATTCATTGGTTCCACCCGTTTATTGAAATACATTTTTAGTGGGCCATTATTGTCATTCTGTGGTATCCATCCATCAAGTCCTTCATTTCTTTGAGACGGTGTACGAGACTAGAGATCTATATGAATTCGAACACCAACTGCAATATCTCCGTTCCATCATAAATGTTTCTTTTGAAACAGATTTTCACCCAGACCCGACACTCCTACCCCCTTTTCTACTCCGACGTCTACCTATTAGTCCTCCCTCGTCTCCTACACGCGCTTCTACACCTTCTACTCCTTCAATATCGTATTCTCCCGTCTCTTTTTCCGAATTATCCACCCCCTTAAATTCTCCTGACCGCTCTCGTTCCCCCACACCCGACTAACTGTCTATTCATATTCTTCCCCTTTTCCTTTCCTTTCCTTCTTCTTCTATCCCACACACACACACACACACACACACACACACACACGCATACACATAACAATATCATTCAAGTAAATTGTAATAAACCGTGCCGCATAACTTTCTGTTGTCACTCTTATTTTAATAATAATAAATTTGGTATTAATTTATTTCCATCAGTTAATTTCAAAATCACCCCACCCTTCCAACAGTCAACTCATGGTCCTATCCCCGGTAAAGGGATTCGCGTCCCTGACCGAAAAACGGACCGCACGTCGTACGTCGGTGCCCGAGTAAAGGGGCCCGTCGGATCCTTGACCCGTCCACTGACACGCGTGTACGAACGAGGTTCGCCTTACTCGCGAACGAAAAGGTTGCGTTCCTCCTCTAGGACGTAACAATACATTTTCTTTGTGTATCCAAGAGTTGTGCGAATCGTCAAATCCCAACCATTTCACTAAAACCTTGTCGCCGCTTTTTCGCAACACCTTTTCCACGAGATAAACGTCAGGATTAGCAGCGCGATGCAGTTCGTATTCATAAAATCTTCCGGCAATAGACTTTCCGCGAGAATCCTCGAGCAGATAGGTCGCTGGATTAGTTGTCTGCACTTTCACGATTTTAAACACTTCGGTTGTCCAATTCGGTGTATAGCCTTTTTCAAAGATGGTTTTGAATTTGCTCACGCGTACCAGATCACCCACTTTGAACCTCGCAGGCGCAGCGATCTTTACGTTGTTGTAGACTGTGTGTAGGAGCTTATCAGCGATTTCGGGTATCACATCGATAGGACGCATGCCGATAATTCGATGTTTCCGTATGTTGTACTCCGTGATAAGGCGCGGTAACGAGTCGATCCATTTGTATGTTCCATTCAACGTAAACATTTTCCACATGGTGTTCTTTAACGTGCGGTTGAATCGTTCCACAACAGATGCCTTCATTACCGAGTACGTAGAATAATGATTGATACCATGTTTTTTAAAGAGTTTCTGCAGATCCGCATTATAAAATTCCTTTCCCAGATCCGTTTGCACATTTTTCGGACATCTTCCAGATTTTTGAAATATCCTGGCGAATACTGTCACTGCTTCTTTACCGCTCTTGCTCTTCATCGGTACAGCCCACGCATAACACATCGATAATAGTGAGTATTTAGTAGTAGCCTCTATTGAATCGCGAGTAAGGACGCATCTCTACCAAGTCAGCTTGCCAAAGATCATCGTATCCGCGCACTATGACGCGTCTACGGGGAAAATATCTTCTCGCTGGAGCGTGCAACTCCTCCACCAACCGATGCTTTTCGTTACCGATGAGCTGCTTCTCTGAACTTTTCTTCTTTTTGTTAAATTTTGATGATTGCTTTGCCATTGCAGCTTGTGATGATCCGTCTCGCTTATGTCGATACTATATGTCAATTTAACTGCAATATTCTACTTTTATATTTCCCTTGATTGCTTTATCTCTGAGCGTGTCCAGTCTAAAATTTGGTCTATGTTCTCATGAATGCTATTCATGCTCTGTATGTTTTTCTTCCGGTAGTCTTCCAGCCAATCCTTCAATTTTTTAACATTCTCATCTACATACTGCTTCATCTCAACGTTATTCTCATGCAGTAGAAGCTTTATAGCATTTATATTCTCATCGATATACTGCTTCTTCTCAACGTTACTTTCATGCAACAGAAGTTTTACAGACTTTGTACTCTCATCCATATAATATTTGTGCGCAGCATCATTGAAGGCTTCCGGCTGCGGTACATTATGTATCGCGTGCATTTTTGCATCGAAATATTTGCCATCACGACCTTTACTATTGGCGGTTAGACAAAGGGCATTTTCATGTACATATCGTTTGGTTGCAACGTTGTTTAAATGATATCTCACACCTGCAACACATTCTTCCACGTATTGTTTGGTTGCAACGTCACTGTCGGCTTCAGGTTGCGCTACATGTTGTATCTTGCGCGACTTTGCGTCAAAAACTTTGACAGCGTTTAAACAAAGGGCATTTTCATGTATGTAATTTTCAACGTGTTCATTCCATTGATGCACTTCGATCGGAGAACTATTGCTGTCTGGCAACACTCCAAACTTATGCGTCGACATTTCGAAGCAAGCTGTGCCGATGCTGTACCGGCTAACTGACTGACTGACTCGTGTCAGTGCAGCGCTGTTTAATTTATAATAAGACCAGCTTCGCGGAGTTCTTCGATAATCGATAAAATTTCGTTGTCATGAGCGTTATTGCCAGCTTGGCGCGAAGCGTCAAGCAATCGCAAATGACTCACCAGCTCGTTGGGATCATCCCAATGCACGTAATCGATATTGTTGTCATTTAAAGTCATCATAGCTTGCGGTGCGTATAAACCTTCTCCGGCCACTTTATCGCTCGACGCATATGATAATAGAGGCGCGATTATATGTTTATATTTGTGTCCCTTGTTACCGAGTATCGGATTTTGCGGGAGGTACCCGCGTCTGTGAGCATTCGTCGCCAATAGTATACTTTTGTATTTTTGCATATCAGCCTCGGTGTACACAGAATCGTCGGAGATTCTTTTGAATATTAGCTCGTAAAGACCGGGTGTTCCAATGTATCCTGTTTCGCCTATGATTATATTATCGTCCCTGTCAACATCGACATGTTTATCACCGAGCATCGCTCCATCGTTACTAAAACGTACGCCGTAAACATAATCTATGATGTTATCTTTTCCACTACTTAGCACAGCTCCCATATATTTTTGACCCAACGGACCAAAATAATCATGTAAAGTTTGTTGTCCTTTGTACGTTCGCAACTGACGTCTAATGGATGTCACTACCGATTCATCGGGGGTTTCGGAAACATTCTCATCATCATCATCAGTGAGTAGATTGTCGATCAGTGAAGATTCATGTGGTTCCTCATATTGTAGAGCTCCCGTCGATGTAGAAACTATCGAAGGATCTTTGAATAGTTTCCGTTTCAGCGGAGTCAATGCGGCTGATGAAAGTTTTGCCTTACGCTTTATCTTTTTTTCTGGTTTTAATACACTTTTGTTTCTTCACTTGTACTCATTGATAGTGGCTCAGTTTTAACATCAACGTTACTTTCCACATTAGCGCTGCTTCCCGCGATTTGCTTGAGAGGTTCAATAATAGGTTTAAAGTGTCTCTCCAATGCAGCATTCTCAACAATTCTACCGGTTTTCAAAGCGATACTTCTTGCGGATCGATTCGCTCGTTTTCGCAATCTTTTCCGCTACCTTTTCATGATCCATGACCTTCACGTTACTATTCATCATTGATATATTTGTCTCGTAGACGTTGAAGATGTTACCACGTTGAGG